GAAGCACTGTGGACTTGCCTGGAAGCACTGTGGAGGGTACATCATCTCAAGGCTGTAGCAACTTGCCTGATACTGAAGCACTGTGGAGGGCATCTCAAGGTTGATATCATCTCAAGGTTGTAGCACTGCCTGATACTGAAGCACTGGTGGGAACATCATCTCAAGGATGTAGCAACTTGCCTGATACTGAAGCACTGTGGAGGGTACATCACAAGGATGTAGCCTGATCTGAAGCACGGGTACATAGCCTCAACAACAACTTGCCTGATACTGAAGCACTGAGGAGGGTACATCATCTCAAGTTTGTAGCAACTTGCCTGATACTGAAGCTCTGTGGAGGGTACATAGCCTCAAGGTTGTAACAACTTGCCTGATACTGAAGCACTGTGGAGGGGAACATCATCTCAAGGATGTAGCAACTTGCCTGATACTGAAGCACTGTGGAGGGTACATAGCCTCAACGTTGTAACAACTTGCCTGATACTGAAGCACTGTGGAGGGAACATCATTTCAAGTTTGTAGCAACTTGCCTGATACTGAAGCACTGTGGAGGGTACATAGCCTCAACGTTGTAGCAACTTGCCTGATACTGAAGCACTGAGAAGGGTACATCATCTCAAGTTTGTAGCAACTTGCCTGATACTGAAGCTCTGTGGAGGGTACATAGCCTCAAGGTTGTAACAACTTGCCTGATACTGAAGCACTGTGGAGGGTACATAGCCTCAAGGTTGTAACAACTTGCCTGATACTGAAGCACTGAGGAGGGTACATCATCTCAAGTTTGTAGCAACTTGCCTGATACTGAAGCACTGTGGAGGGTACATCATCTCAAGGTTGTAGCAACTTGCCTGATACTGAAGCACTGTGGAGGGTACATCATCTCAAGGTTGTAGCAACTTGCCTGATACTGAAGCTCTGTGGAGGGAACATCATCTCAAAGTTGTAGCAACTTGCCGGATACTGAAGCACTGTGGAGGGTACATCATTTCAAGGTTGTAGCAACTTGCCTGCTACTGAATCACTGTAGAGAGAACATCATCTCAAGGTTGTAGCAACTTGCCTGATACTGAAGCACTGTGGAGGGTACATCATCTCAAGGTTGTAGCAACTTGCCTGATACTGAAGCACTGTGGAGGGTACATCATCTCAAGGTTGTAGCAACTTGCCTGATACTGAAGCACTGTGGAGGGTACATAGCCTCAAGGTTGTAACAACTTGCCTGATACTGAAGCACTGTAGTGGGAACATCATCTCAAGGTTGTAGCAACTTGCCTGATACTGAAGCACTGTGGAGGGTACATCATCTCAAGTTTGTAGCAACTTGCCTGATACTGAAGCACTGTGGAGGGTACATCATCTCAAGGTTGTAGCAACTTGCCTGATACTGAAGCACTGTGGAGGGTACATAGTCTCAAGGTTGTAGCAACCTGCCCCATACTGAAGCACTGTGGAGGGTACATCATCTCAAGGATGTAGCAACTTGCCTGATACTGAAGCACTGTGGAGGGAACATCATCTCAAGTTTGTAGCAACTTGCCTGATACTGAAGCACTGTGGAGGGTAAATAGTCTCAAGGTTGTAGCAACTTGCCTGATACTGAAGCACTGTGGAGGGTACATCATCTCAAGGATGTAGCAACTTGCCTGATACTGAAGCACTGTGGAGGGTACATAGCCTCAACGTTGTAACAACTTGCCTGATACTGAAGCACTGAGGAGGGTACATCATCTCAAGTTTGTAGCAACTTGCCTGATACTGAAGCTCTGTGGAGGGTACATAGCCTCAAGGTTGTAACAACTTGCCTGATACTGAAGCACTGTGGAGGGAACATCATCTCAAGGATGTAGCAACTTGCCTGATACTGAAGCACTGTGGAGGGTACATAGCCTCAACGTTGTAACAACTTGCCTGATACTGAAGCACTGTGGAGGGAACATCATCTCAAGTTTGTAGCAACTTGCCTGATACTGAAGCACTGTGGAGGGTACATAGCCTCAACGTTGTAACAACTTGCCTGATACTGAAGCACTGAGAAGGGTACATCATCTCAAGTTTGTAGCAACTTGCCTGATACTGAAGCTCTGTGGAGGGTACATAGCCTCAAGGTTGTAACAACTTGCCTGATACTGAAGCACTGTGGAGGGTACATAGCCTCAAGGTTGTAACAACTTGCCTGATACTGAAGCACTGAGGAGGGTACATCATCTCAAGTTTGTAGCAACTTGCCTGATACTGAAGCACTGTGGAGGGTACATCATCTCAAGGTTGTAGCAACTTGCCTGATACTGAAGCACTGTGGAGGGTACATCATCTCAAGGTTGTAGCAACTTGCCTGATACTGAAGCTCTGTGGAGGGAACATCATCTCAAAGTTGTAGCAACTTGCCGGATACTGAAGCACTGTGGAGGGTACATCATTTCAAGGTTGTAGCAACTTGCCTGCTACTGAATCACTGTAGAGAGAACATCATCTCAAGGTTGTAGCAACTTGCCTGATACTGAAGCACTGTGGAGGGTACATCATCTCAAGGTTGTAGCAACTTGCCTGATACTGAAGCACTGTGGAGGGTAGATCTTAAAAACAAAACTGTGTTTGCATTTCCCAGTGAAAATTCATAACCACATGGTTTATTTTCATCCTTTTTTACACGTCATCAAGGTCAGCATGATTCAATGGGTGACCAAACCCTTTGTTGACAAGTGTTTTTTTAACAACTTTAATAAACTTGCCAGAACTGTTTACTTGACTGAGTAAGTCTTCAAGTGAGGTATTGATATGTGTTTAGACTTGTATTTTAGGGGCGATGCTTTGTTGTCAGGACAGCCAAGGGGAAAGAATTCATTTTCATATTGCAGATAATGTCGCTTGTACTAAGTGCAGTGGCAGAAATGGCAGTGCTAGCAGCAGTTGCAGTGCTGCCATGTGCAGCAGTTGTACAAATTGGTTACTGAGTAGTGCAGAGTACTGGTTGAAATATTAAGTACAGTGGCATGTGGTGAACATGTCGTAGCGTTGGACTATTAGTATTGGTGCGATTGCATTGAGGCTAGTAGTAGTAATAGTAGCAGTAGTAGCAGCAGCAGCAGCAGCAGCAGCAGCAGCAGCAGTAGTAGTAGTAGTAGTAGTAGTAGTAGCAGCAGCAGCAGCAGTAGTAGTAGTAGTAGAAGGAGTAGCAATAGCAGTTGGAGGAGGATGAGAAAGATAATACTGTCATTGAAAATGTTAGTACTGAGTGATAGTGTATATTTGTGAGTACTACATAAAAGGCCTGATTTATACAGTTTTGCTTTTGAGAGCCCACTGGACATTTCTAGGTACAATGTTATGACAAATTATAGGGTAGGCAAATAATTAGGGGTCATTATTTGGTCCTTCCCTGAAAACAAAATGACTTCAAATATTTAGGCGAAATTTGCAACATTGTGTCATATGACTTTGTTTGTGTTGAACATCTTCATTATGATAACATACATATGTACACATGTGAAAAAAGTATCGCAACACCTATGATTTTTAACCTCTATATAGCCATTTATAATAATTCCTATAAAAATTATGATGGCCAGATGACACGTTATTGGTATACGGAATATTCGCATGTCTTTGAGAAGCGGCCTCTTGCAAGAGATATTGATTGTCATCTATCGACTATCAGCAAACTGATCAGCAAACTACTGACGTTAAAGACTCTCAGCATTCAGGTCGACCATGAATGACAACTGTATGGGAGGATACTGCCCTTCTGGAGGTCACCAAAATCACTTCATCTGTTTACATCAAGTGGTGTGTTAAAAGCAGCTTCCATGTAATCATTTGTCCAACAGACCGGTCTGAAGTCACCTAAAATGGCCAGTCATAGGAGCCAAACGACCAATCCAGCGTCCATTGTTATCCCCAGAGCACAAAGTAGCATAACTAGCTTGGTGTCAAGATCAATGTCACTGGATTTTTATGTTATGGTTCCACTGGTTGATTTCTTTTGTTTAAGACTGATGGCATAAGACCATAGAAACACTGAATATGCAAAATGGAATACTAGCATCATTGAGCAAGTACCATTTGGAGGGAGTTCATTGATGGTGTGGGTGTGCCTCTCACATGACTGTAAACGACAGAGTCTGAATGGACAACGGTACATCACTGATATCCAAGACACCACATATCAATGACCATCCTCTGAACACAAGGCTAGTCAATGCTACACCAAATCATGCACATGCCGTTGGTGATTTTTATGTCAAGAGATGGTAGCAACTTGACCTTGGCCTGCCTGGAGTCAAGATCTCAAAGAGCATGTTTGGGAGGATTATGGGTCACGGAACATGCCAGAGAGATCTTCCATTAAAACATCTTGATGTATTGGAACAAGCCTTCCATCAAGAATGAAACACAATACTTCAACAATGAGGAGGAGGGTCAAGGATGTTACTGAAGTTTAGAGAGAGGTTACATCATATATTGACATTGTGCTCAGTTATTGATACTTATGTGACTTCTTGTATGCCAGAATCTTGGAAATGACAACACTTGGTAATGACATACAACCATAGTTATCAGCACAACAAAATGAATCAATTTTTTGCTAAGTTTGATTTCCTGAATAAACTTTAATTTTTCATTCATTTTGCATTTAGATTTGCAATTTAATCAGTCCTTAGCAATTTAATCAGTCAGTTAGTCCACGTAGTCAGGTAAACTGGGGTTTGATTAAACTCATTTGCTATGGTTAATGGTAACATGTTGATACTAAGGAAAAATACCTTTTTCCATGTGTATGATTTTGTAAAGACAATTAGAGGGTTACGCAAAATTTCACAAATGTTACAGTATGTATCAATCAGGAAAATTATTTAAAATTATTAGAATATCTAAAACAAAATTCTGAACAAAAAACATTATGGGGTTACTGTACAGTACAAGTGGCATTGGCATTGGTATTGAAGTTAGTTGCCTTGTAGCCACTTTCATGAAGAAAACCTTGCAGCTTTAACTGGTCTTACCTACATATTTAGGTGGAATGGCGCTCAAGCACTTGGCAAGCCAGACGTATACCCGCAAAACACAGACAACAAGTTGGCCTGGGCATTTAGTAAGAGGGGTTCTGCAAATGAGTGGATTCAGGTAAGTTCTGAAATAAACGTATAATAACATGTCAGATTATAACTGTAACAATAAGGTTTCTTATCTGCACTAGGATTATTCCCAGGGATGTTTCAGCCAAGAAATCATTATTACCCTGGTGAATGGATCAGTGTGCACTTAAATTCCGTTATCAGCTCCCTAAGGACCATGCAGTTATATTGCTGTCACATCCCTCCCATACACAAGAACTTGTTGCTATCTGGCTGTCAACATTAATGTGATTAAACAAAGAATGGTATTATATATACTGTTATGATGATGATCAAGATGATAATGATTTTAAAGGGAGGTGGGGTGTCACCCATTTTGTTCTTGGGAGGTGGGGGGTTATCATTTTTTTACACGTTCTAGTGGGGGTGTTAATTCATAATAATATTTTTAAAGTATGCCTAAAAATTAGGGTGGAGTGGGGGCGTTGTCATTGATTTCGTACATGACATGCTGGGGAAGTCACTTACTTAGTACACACACACACCTTAGCACACATATCTTTGGGGAGTAAAATGCGGAAACTTTGGCTATTTGAGAAGTTTTCCTCTGAACCCTGGATTATCCAGAATATTGCATCTTCATTCTATTTTGAAAAATACCCTGGATTTATACTCCATCACAGCTTCAAATCTGAGACCATAGCCAACCAATCATAGTACTCAAAAGAATGAGAAAAATAATGTGCTAGATAGAGATACGATAAGAGAGATGATGAGTGAGTGAGTGAGTATTTTTTTACAGCACTTTTAGCAATATTCTAGCAATATCACAGTGGGGGGACACCAGAAATGGGCTTCACACATTGTACCTATAATGTGGGGAATCGAACCCAGGTCTTCAGCGTGACAAGCAAATGCATTAACCATTAGGCTACCCCACTGCCCCTGAGGATCACGACATTGTTACGGTAAACCAAACTATGAATACCAATGGGCCTCTAAAATGAAAGTGTCTGAAGCAACACTGTTGCAATCCAGACTAAGGCACACTACTGACAACTATGCTTGTGTGGTTAATTTGTATATAATATGGTAATCAAGTAACAAAATGCACTGACATACACATGTATATCACCATTTCAGTTGGGATTTCCAGAAAAGATATACATGAAGGAGATCAGTATCTATGAAACATATCATGCCGGTGGGATCAGGGAAGTGGCTGGCAGGAGGCCTGATATGGGTTGGAACATCTTGTGGTACACACACAAACCTACTGACCTGAAGAAAAGTAGGATCTTTAAGCCTATCTTGAAGGTAACCATCTTACCAATATATGTTATCATCTAAGGACCAGATGAACACATTATGCAATGAACACTTTAAATTTAATTAATGTGAGGTTCTGTTGCAGACATGTTTCTCCCAGCACCCCATGCTTTCCTCGATAGCAAGGGTCTGGTTGTTGCAAGGAAGAAACCCCGTGAAGATCTGGGTCAGAATTGATCTTCAGTAACTCATGCTTAATGTAAGAGGCGACTAACGGGATTGGGCAATCATCTTATCCCAATTGCATAGATCGATACTCATGCTTTTGATCACTGGATTGTCTGGTTCAGACTCGATTATTGACAGACCGCCGCCATATAGCTGAAATATTGTTGAATGCGGAGTTAAACAGGCAACCAACTACAAGGTAGATCACAGTTGACAGGGTGTGACTGTGAAATGGTGTTCATGTGGGTGCCAGTCAAATCGCCCCAGCTACAAAACGCCCCAGCCAATTTGGTCAAAATGCCCCAGATTTTTGGTCAAATCGGCCCAGGTTTGGTCAAATTGCCCCAGGGGGTTAGTCAAAATGCCCCAGTGTATTTAAAATATTTAAATATATGCCATAAATGCATAGTTTTTGTTAACTTCCATATTATATACTTCGTATAATAATATATAGTAATATTTCTGATAGATTTTCTATTAGTAAACTGATAAGAGCAAAAGTAATATTCATGTATAAACAACACTATCATACCAATTATTTGCATGTTATTAATGCTTTTGTAAAGAATTACAAGAATAAAATGAAATGTTTGTATAAAATGTTTATTGGCCGTAAATGCATAGGTTTCTCAACAAGTATGGTATAATGCTAATCAAAACAATCTAGAGCTTTTGTTAATTAATCTTGTCAAACAGTGTGGATAAAAAACAGGCTATTAAAACATGTTCACTAATTGACATTCAATGCTGTGTTTAGTTAAAGGAAATGTTGAGGCTCGAATGTAAGAGCATTTCAGGCTATAAAAACATATTCACTAATTGACCATCACCTATCGAGATTCAAAAATGTAATTTTGAACGATTTTAATATCTACAGTCATTTTGACTTAAATTTCGGTAGCAGATTTTGTCTAATCATACATTCTCGTCTCGAACTTGAATGTAGTGACCTTAATGCGCACAAATATGAAAGATTTATATCTCTGACATCATCTTGCTCTTGTGGCCATAACTATGAAGACTCTGCTCATTATTTCTTTTCATGTACTCTTTACAACGATATACGTCAAATTATGTTTTTTTTATACTAAAGGATTTGACCTAAAATCAATTTTGTTTGGAAACCAACGCTGTTCCTCAATAGTAAAGAAAGAACTTTTAATTTCAGTGCACTCTTTTATAAATTTAACAAGCAGATTTGATCCAAAATATTTTGTTTATATGACATATACCGTTTAACAATGATTGGCGTTATTTCTCGTTTTTGCAGCATTTATATATCATTCACATTGTACATTCATCATGACGAGTTTATTCTTCCTTCCATTGTATCCCAGAGCCGTATTCATATAAGCTTATGCTTGTTTACCAATCCGGTTCCTTTCTTTGGAAATAAATATGTTTAAATAATAAATATTATACCATACTAGTTATGATTACATAATGCCATTTGTTGACCAAAAAACTATTTACAGCCAATAAACATATTATACAAACCTTTCATTTTACTCTTGTAATTCTTTACCAAATAATTAGTATTACAGTGTTGTCTATACATGAATATTACTTTTGGTCTTATGAGTTTACTAATAGAAAATTTATCAGAAATATCACTATATAATATTATATATAGAATATAACATGGAAGTTGACAAAAACTATGCATTTGTGGCATATATTTAACCAATTTAAATACATTGGGGCATTTTGACTACCCCCCTGGGGCAATTTGACCAAACCTGGGGCAATTTGACCAAAAATCTGGGGCATTTTGACCAAATTGGCTGGGGGCGTTTTGTAGCTGGGGCGATTTGACTGGCACCCGTTCATGTGACCTGCCAGACCAAAACAGATACTTCAATGGCGCATGGTTGTTTCTGAAATAAAGTTGACTGCAGGATAAAACAACATTCACTCACTTCGTTTGCTGTATAGTAACAGGTACAAGTTTAGGGAGAAAAGCAGAGGAATAATCAGGAAACGGTACTCTTGGGGTTCTGTCAATTGAATGCAAGTTAAATTACAAAACAGCATTTGCTTCTGGGTGGGTTGGCCACTAAAAAGCCCCAAAAGACTTCCATGCTCAACCCTGGACCCAAACTTAGTACCCGTCTCTCACATCCATGTTAACGACGCTCATAGCAAGCCCTGAATTGGAACAGCTTACCTGGACCCTAGCTCCAAATACGGTCAATTTCAATACATCATGTTACCGGAAGCATGGTCAGTTAGATCATGATGTCTGCATGATTCTCTAACTCCTCCCTTGGTCTTATATGCTGTTCTTTTCTTTTGAACAATGATTCGGCATGGCCAAAAAAAAAACCCATAGCAAACGACAATTTGGTTATCATCAATGGGTTGGTTTCTGGTCAAAGGGAGACAATCGTATTTCTTTGTTCAGGAGTTAACTTACCTTAACTGCGCAGAATGTAATTTTTGAACACTTCACACACTCCTCACCAGCAAAGGGAGTTAACCACGTTCAACAATTCACAGGTTATGTCCCTTGTACTAAAGAGAGCGAAATGTGTTTCACAAATGGTAAAACGGGTTTGCAGTTATTTCCCCTTGACCATCAACGGCACGGCATCATTGAGTGATACCATTGCTTACTCTTCCGATATTATCGATGCTACTAAGCGGGTTCAGTCCCGTGAACTATCACTCAACATGAACTTTATGATGTTGGTCCTCCTTTGTGTTTGTCCTTTCCTTTTAGAAGAAATCGTCGCACACGAACAGATGGGTATTTTGTGGTCAAAGGGAAGTAATCCATGGTATTGCTTTGTACATGAGTTAACTCCCTTGTCTGCTCCACACAGTGCCTTATTTAGAACTCCACACAGTGCCATCAATCAAAGGGAGTTAACTGCGTGCAACAAATCAAGAGTTACGTCCCTTATCATAAAGGGAGATAAGTCTGGTTAGTAAACTAATTCAACCGGATTTACAGTTACTTCCCTTTGACCATCAACGGCACGGCATCCCATTGAGTGATACCAGTGCTTACTCTTCCAATATTATCGATGCTACTAAGCCGGTTCAGTCACCTGAACTATCACTCAACATGCACTTTATGATGTTGGTCCTCCTTTGTGTTTGTCCTTTCCTTTTAGAAGAAATCGTCGCACACGAACAGATGGGTATTTTGTGGTCAAAGGGAAGTAATCCATGGTATATGCTTTGTACATGAGTTAACTCCCTTGTCTGCTCCACACAGTGCCTTACCTAGAACTCCACACAGTGCCATCAATCAAAGGGAGTTAACTGCGTGCAACAAATCAAGAGTTACGTCCCTTATCATAAAGGGAGCTAAGTCTGGTTAGTAAACTAATTCAACCGGATTTACAGTTACTTCCCTTTGACCATCAACGGCACGGCATCCCATTGAGTGATACCAGTGCTTACTCTTCCGATATTATCGATGTAACTAAGCCGGTTCAGTCACCTGAACTATCACTCAACATGCACTTTATGATGTTGGTCCTCCTTTGTGTTTGTCCTTTCCTTTTAGAAGAAATCGTCGCACACGAACAGATGGGTATTTTGTGGTCAAAGGGAAGTAATCCATGGTATATGCTTTGTACATGAGTTAACTCCCTTGTCTGCTCCACACAGTGCCTTACCTAGAACTCCACACAGTGCCATCAATCAAAGGGAGTTAACTGCGTGCAACAAATCAAGAGTTACGTCCCTTATCATAAAGGGAGATAAGTCTGGTTAGTAAACTAATTCAACCGGATTTACAGTTACTTCCCTTTGACCATCAACGGCACGGCATCCCATTGAGTGATACCAGTGCTTACTCTTCCAATATTATCGATGCTACTAAGCCGGTTCAGTCACCTGAACTATCACTCAACATGCACTTTATGATGTTGGTCCTCCTTTGTGTTTGTCCTTTCCTTTTAGAAGAAATCGTCGCACACGAACAGATGGGTATTTTGTGGTCAAAGGGAAGTAATCCATGGTATATGCTTTGTACATGAGTTAACTCCCTTGTCTGCTCCACACAGTGCCTTATTTAGAACTCCACACAGTGCCATCAATCAAAGGGAGTTAACTGCGTGCAACAAATCAAGAGTTACGTCCCTTGACCCAAGGGAAGTAAGTCTGTTTAACAATTGTTAAACAGGATATACAGTTACTTCCCTTTGACCGTCAACAGCATGGGTCTTCAAATCCAATGTATAAATGGGTTGTGTCGATGTCGTATGTGAGTAACTGATTAATCCGGCTGAATCCGAATGAAACTGAAATCATCAGTGCGTGCTGAACGAATCCTCATCCATGACCACTCAGTATGTGTTGCACGGGAAAGCAGGCAGCGTAGCGCAGCGAAGCTTGCAAACTTTTGCTGAACAACGCGCCCCTGGATACGTGTATGAAAGCATTGTCAGAGTTGTCTCCCTTTGACCATGTTCCTTCCCTGATATTTCTTTTCCTATCAGTCATCGCTGCCATTTAAGCTGAATTATTTTTTCTCGTATGGGGTGGTATATAAATCTATCCCAGGTAGAATTCAGTTTACAAATATCTACCCTACCAGTGCTAACAAAGGTGGAGTCAAACTCCATGCAGAAACAGATTTAGCATTGTTCACAAAATTGCACATTATACCAGAGACCATCTATTATATGGTCTCTGATTATACCAGTCGGAGGTGGGCAATTAGAAGATTTCCCTGGAAGCCACGACATTTTCTATTTCTACATACATTTAAACCAAAGATTGTGTAAATGTAACCTCGATACTGTTAATAACGAGAAATCGATACTCGTCATCTGTGAACCGGTGGAATGTTAAACCGGTTTGAACTAAATTACTACAGACAACTTTGTCTTAAACACATCCGAGTATTTACAACGTCTGTGTGGCGCAACCCGCCTCGTTATATAGCGCGAGTAAACACACTGCCACCCAAAAACATGTGACGTCTGAAAACTGTTGATACTTGACTTCCCACACACCCTGGACCAAGGACCTGTGTTCCCCAGCGCTAAATTCAACTACAAATGTAAATGTGGTTGGAAACTCTGCCCTATATAGTTCGTGCCTTCTTTGACGATAGTTATCCCTTTAGGTATACACTTTGATTTCTACTAATCTTCGAAATTAGGTTATCTTTCTCGACTGGCACCTTGTGTGATAACCATGTCCAGTAAAGCGGTGGTCGAGGTTAATGCCGACTTTCTGTTGATATGCGCATTTCTTGAACATTAATCTTTAAATGAGTCAGTACTTACACATGTGTATATATATTTTCAGAAGCCATATTTCAAAACAGATATCATCCGCATCACTGTCGACGGTACGGCATGTCGTTCCTGGTCGGAGATCGACGCTGTCAAAGTCGTGGGGGAACACCGGGCCTACTAACCTTTACCGCCGTCACAGATGTATCCACCATAGTTCCTGCGCACGGACATGCAATGTGGACATGGGCGGCATATAACTATTTTGTTTTCGTTATTTGTTAAAGCCAAAATATGATAGAGGTCTGTAAGTAATCTGCACAAGAAGCAAAGTTAGACAAACCAGTGACTGATATGAGCACCTATGAATACCATTGGGGTATGATGACAGTCTGTCAGCCAAGTTACAATACCCAATCAATTCAGTCGCCTCGCTTATTAAGACCGACACACTCGAAAACGTAAAAAGGGGGCTGAGGGCTTTCGTATAGTATATAAATGTTGTAATACAAATGTGAGTTTGTGCTACAATCTGATGGTTCACATGCTTGAGAATTTCAGCCAATAAGGCAAGCTTGAGATTTTAAGCTTGGCTCTTTACATATATCCCCTTAAGCATTAACTGTAACAGCATCAACCTTGTTATTATATTCACGGTGTATTCAATATTATTAAATCTTAAGAGAAAACCTCAACCTTTGTTGTTTTTCGTCTGCATATTTATCTTATTTGTCAAGTTGTCGAGATGTCATGCGTCACCTGTTATATAGTTGGTTGGTTGGTTGGTCAGGCGCGTAGCAAGCCAAATATTTCGTGAAAGCCCGATAGGTTGCAAAGCTTTATATTTAGATAGTATTGAGGGCTTGCCCAACGTTGTTAGGAAAATCATGTATAAGCCCGGGCTTTTTTTTTATAATGGTAGCTACGCCCCTGTTGGTCGGTTGTTTAACGCCGCACTCAGCAATATTCCAGCCATACGGCGGCAATCTGTAGATAATCGAGTCTGGACCGGTCAATAGAGTGATCAACATCATGAGCAACGACGTCGCAATTGGGATACGATGACATGTGTCAGCCAAGTCAGTGAGTCTGACCACCCGATCCCGTTAGTCGCCTCTTACGACAAGTATCGGTTACTCAAGACCAATTCTAACCCGGAACTTCACGGGTCGTCACCTGTTGTTCGATGACACGGACGTAACTATGAGCGAGTTCCAGTCATATATTGTCAACTTAAATAAACATCTGAGACTTTTATGACTTTGGTAACTTCAAAGGTCAACAGTGTGGTGGTGCTTACCCAAGAATTGTCGTTAAAGGTGAACTTAGGATTCGAACCCGTGGGTTCTGGCACTTCAGTGAACAGCAAATGGTGACTTTTACAACTGGGATTGCGTTGGAGACAGGGTATATTCATATTTCGTCAATACGTATGATATAGTTCTGAAAACGTAGACAGTAGACAATTGTTTCAACACGTTTTCAGTATTTACTGGAAAGACTGATTGAACATGAATTTAGCAATAGTCCAAATATATCCCAACGATTGACACGTGAAATGGTCTCGACACCGTAGTAGTTGGAAAGAAGAGAATGGGAACGTGTGGTAAATATATAAATGATTACCCCAGACTTCACCCGTTTTAGGCAATGCAAACACAAAACGCCACAGAAAAGTCAGTTGAGAATGATCTGTCTGAACTTATAAAACTACGTAAAAGGCATAACGAGAAAATTAAAGTATTGGATCAAAGAATATCGGGGACATCATTCAAATCATATTCTCATCTTATTACTAAGCTTGATTATTCAAATGGGTTTGCGAATGCGGGTGGAAAGACATTTGTCTTTTAGACAGAATTGAGAAAAGTGATGTATCTGTGATAAAATCCATACAAAAGTTATTTTAGTGGTATCCATGGAAACCCTTCTTTGGTTTACGGTGTAACATCAAGTGATCAATGAGACCAACCGAATTTTAAGTCTGAATCTAAAATAATAATAGGCTACTTAACAAAACCGATTTAACACATTTACACCCTGGGATATGGGCTTCTAATGAATGTTTTAAGAGCCGACTCAAGCTCGGTGATTTGGTTGTGATTATATATCATTGATCCGCATTGAATGAATTGATGCTCATGATGTTAATCACTAGATTGTCTGGCCCAAACTCGATTATTGACAGACCATCGTTATGTAGCTGGATTGTTGCTGGGCACCCGGTTGTACAAAATTCGACAATATCCAGTACTTTTAGACAAAGATCTAAGATGAATTGTACTCCCCGTCGCCGTCTACGTATGACGATATCTAGAATAAACAGGTTTGGCTATCATTTGTCCCAGCCAGTAGCAGAGCTATTAACAATAACTAAAGACTTTTTGTAAACAGTTCTGTGTTACCTAACTAAAATCGTTTTATGTCTTGACAAGGATACCTATATCATTTTAGTGCTACACTTCAGAGTAAACTTTGTTAACTCATGCGTAAGACACCAAAAAAAATATGTTCAGTCAAATGTTAAATACTTCACAACAGTGTTCACTTATGTTTCATAAACAAGCATCACTTGTGTGTTCAATGCTTCCGAACTGAAGGTGTCCACTTCCGTGTATTTGGTAAATACTGGCAAATCTGAGTTGATATTAAATATACTTGAATATGCTTTGGCTGAAGTTTTTAATGCTTCCAAAATTAACATTGTTAATTCATATGTAAATTAAATAAACGTTCACGTACGTGCAGAACACTTCAAATTAACAGTTTTTTCACTTATATGTAAATAATTAAAATAGAGTGAGTGAGTGGGTGAGTTTAGTCTTACGCCGCTTTTAGCAATATTCCAGCAATATCACGGCGGGGGACACAAATTAAAATAAAGGATAGCGATGCTCGCATATGTGTTTCATACTCTAAATAAATGGTTTCGCTTTAATGTGAAAAAAATAACATATAAAAATAACATAAGATCACTTGCTTGATAACGGTGTTAGTACCTACACCGAATCGTCGCACTCATTGCAATAAAGAAGTTGACTATCCATAGAACTTGGTTTTCCTTCATCTTCACAGCTTCTAAAATGCCTCTCAAAGAAATAACCCTTTTCTGTCTGCGTCTATTTTTAGCGGATTCTCTTGACTACATCTCAATCCGTCCGTGATATAATTATTCATCTGCAGTTGCAGAAACGCAGTAAGTAGATTTCCTGATCGTATATACACAAATTACATCTGAGCAACATTATCAAATAATAATGGATATATTTGTTTTTGTCTCTGTTTAAAACTCAAGATCAGTAAAGATGAGAGAAAACATGAATTATTGTACATAAGTTAGAGGTTGATTCATTTATTTCCTGTCCAAATAAATCTTTCAAAACAGAGTTCTGGTCAAGACTTGTAATTGGCTTTGTGCGTCACGTCGCAAAGTTTCTGTCGCAGACTGGAGTAAAACCCAGTTTGATGACGCATTATGGGTAACATACCAACGCAATGGCGGATGTAAACAACATTGGGCACCTGTTATTGTGACTGCCGGTAAAATGATCTACCTTGTGAAAGCGTAAGTATTATGTATTAAGGAAATGGATGCTATTTATGCTATAGATTTCACTATATGAATCAATAAATTCTAATGAAAGTGATGAAATGTACTTGAAATATATAGACAGTTAGCCGTTTGGACGGTTGCGCTGAATGATAATGATAAATTAGTCACCATTATTACCAAATTACATTATTTCTCTTATGACTGAAAGTTTTGTAATCATTATTTCACATGTGTCAGATTGTGTGTTGCCAACTAGTTATTTTTGCATTTAGATATCTCATTCTAACCTGTCCCATTCCCCAAACATCCCCACAAGTGGCAGACTCAAATAGCTGAATTCATTTCACTTTTGTTTGTGACATGTCCAGTGACGTCCCCAAATGATTGAATTAGACAGCATGATTTTGTTTAGTTTTATATGTACGTGAGCATGATAAGTAGCCAGATGTGACATGCTTGGATGCAGGGGCAGCAGTGATGGGGTGGCACAGTAATAAACATGATAAAGACTGTGAACAATGATGACGACATGACCCTACATCACAGAGAGAACATCACATTCGTAAATCCTGTGCAGATTCAGATTGTTATGGATAATTTCAGTTGTATTTGGTTAAGATATGCTTATTTCGCTGGGGTTTGTGACTGGAAAGGGTGTATTGCTATTAGTGGTGGTCCAATTAATTGAAATAATCGAAGATTGGTCGCAATGACAAAACGACCAAGCAATCGATCATGTTTTCTCATAATCAAACACAAACAATTTTGGACCACTTGTTTGCAATAACAATATTTTTCACAAGGTGGATTTTGTCTCGACATTGCATAAGCACTACAAGCTCGTTCCAAGTCATGATTAAGTTTATCTTAACAACTCCAGGAAATGTATGTTCCTAACACACTAGTCATCCTTTAAAGATGTGAAATTTGCAAATGCATTTTGTACAATTTGCGTGGGGAAAAGTAGAGAACTACATGTTTTTTCTTTATTTTTTGTGCATTAACAAACATAACCAGGAAAATTTGATAAATGACGCTAACCAATTATTTTCCATGATTGATCGGTTGTAATGAACCAATCATCAATTATGAAATTTACACCAATTCCCAACACTAATTGCTATTCTCCCTGATCAATTCCCTTTCAACATAATCAATAAACATGTACGGTCAGGTCTTATCATAACCATAGTTACATACGGCCAATGAACATGATGAAGGCTGAGAAGAAATTTAGTTCATGAGTGCATCATATCAAACGGGTTATAGCTAAAACGGAACCACAGCAGAACGGCACCAAATTTGTTTGGCGAAAACGGCATCATATTGGCGAAAACGGCTACTGATTTCTGGGCTAAAACGGCACCATATATAAAAAGTTAAACAAAGTATGATGTTGACTTTTATTTTTTATTTCATTTCCGTATATAACATTAGCAAGATTATAACAACATATATGAAACAAAGTGTGACATTGACTTATATTTTTTAGTTCCCCGCAGTGATATTGTTGGAATAGTGCTAAAAGCAGCGTAAAACCATACTCACTCACGCACTCATTTCATTAAAATCACATTAGCAAGATTATAACAGAACCGTCATCATTACAAGTAGTAGTAGTTTATTTCGGTAAATCAGGCCACAGGCCCATTTTACAATTAGTGTATTGACAAAGATGTTGATGTTGCGCCACCAGTGCATGTATCGATGTTTGAGTACAACAAGTATATCTAGTACAATATACATGTGAATATAAAATATGTTGGTTATGTAATGGACGATTGCTTGCTCCTCATTTTAAGAGCGAAGAAAGTCAACTTGGCGAGATTATTAAGCATGAAAGTATTTTTGGTGGTAAATAACAGTTTACATTTACACTCAGACGGAAATTTGTAAGTAATAACTTGGCAGGAACTTTCTTCTAAGGTCATTATAAAATGGACACACTAGACAGACATGGTATTCTGTTTCCACAATTGGGATGATACAAAATGGACAGTCTTTCACTATTAGGTATGCCTAATTTTCTACCCTGTGATATCATAAGATCACTTGTCGTACACCAAAGAGGCTCTGAAAGAAGGAACTACAGCCATTGTTGACCAACACACATGATTTCACATTTTCCTACACCTGCAGAATATATAACAATTACACAATTACAGGCCGATTAATACAATACTCAATTAAAGGCCAATTAACAATCTACTCAATTACTGTGACTGCCAAGTATTAAACAAACATGATGAATACCTCCACTCTCACTCTGATGGCTGTTAACTGAAGTGTCATCTGTACTTACCCGGATGCCCTTTCCAATCACTGTCGGCAGAGTAGATGCATTTATTATCTAAACATACTGCAATCCAATATCAACTAATGACAAATTTTCCAATCACTGTTGGCAGAGTAGACGCATTTTAATATTCTGCAATCCGATTATCTAATGACAAACTAGTTTTCCCTACAATATTTTATTTGGTTCCGTTTTCGCCATAAGGTTTGTAGCCGTTTTCGCCAAGTCGAGGTTCCGTTATGTCCAAATGGTGCCGTTTTCGCCAGGTGCCGATTTTGCTGTGGTGACGTTTTAGCCTGAACCCATATGATATCAAACTATCGATTTGGCCATCACTGAAAATGTAAAGTGAAGTCAGATCATGTATGATAATGGCGGGACTTTATTTTCAATTTAATATTTTCATGGCATCAGGACCAATCTATACATGATGATTGAACTTTGAAGTCAAACCCTAATTCAGATGTGATTTATCCTGATGAATGCTTTTAGATACACTTATGTATGGATATACTGACTCATTTCAATTTCATAGTGATCGAAAAGAGCAAGGAAATCAGATGACAATTTGGGTAGCACTTAGACTAGTTAGAGCATGTCCCTGTGTGATGTGGATGAGGTGCTGTAAAAGTACTCTTATTATTATTGTAATCAGAAAACCATTGTTTGTAGCATGGGAGAAAATATAATGAAAAAAAAAGATTATTTTTAAAACTTCATCAGGATATATTCATGTGTTCAGTGATAGCCAAGTCGTGTAACTTGTAAGCTTGTTTTGTCATCTATCACCCTGTAATCTGTTGTAATTTAGTATACAATTATTCTTAAAGAACTTTTCCATGGTTAACACATATTTTTGTATTTGTCAGAACAGAAATAGTACTCTTTAAATTTAATTATTATTATATTATTTTTCGGTTTACTGAACCTGCCAACCAATTCTGTATAAAATGTGGCCTGGTGTATGTTCAGGTGCCTTGACCAGTCTGTGTGAGCAATGACCATGTCACCATCAGGTGTAAAGCGTGAAATGGATGAGGAGGCTATCATTGAGGCCGAGATCCAACAACAGTTGGAGGTCATCGACCTTGACAGTGATGATCCCAACAACAACATTGATGACAACAGCATTGAGAGACCTGTCGAGAACTTGGAGGACAACATTGGAGATAAGGTTCACCATTGTTATAACTTACATGCTTCATGTGGTAATTGATTTACATCTTAACAGGGTTTATATGTTTTTACATGTCAAGTGTTAAAAATTGGCCAGATTTACTGACTTGGTTGATACATGCCATCGTAACCCAATTGCGTATATCGATGCTCATGATGTTGATCTCTGGATTGTATGGTACAGACTCAATTATTTGCATCATATAACTGGAATATTGCTGAGTGTGGTGTTAAACAACAAACAAACACAAAAACTACCAGACCATCAAACCATATAGATCTATGCTAATGTTCCGTATATCCTCCTACAGCTTGTGTTAGATGAAGCTCACAGATATCTGAGTCTACTCCAGCAGCAGACTGAAAACTTTGAGAGGGAACTGACAGAGTGTGATGACCTCATCACCTACCACAACCAAGGTAATGCCAAGGGAAGTAACTCTCATACATGGCAGTCAGATAAACACTACAAGTAGGATGTTTCATTTGTTTCATTTATTTGTCATTTCGATTATTTACCCATGCTTTCGTTAGTCGTATTGATAGTAAATAATAAAAAAAATTGCAAGAAAGTTTATCATACCATGGACATTCAGATTTCAGATTAGTTCATGTTTTTTTCTACTTTTTGATTGTTTTCCAAAATAACCAGAATATATTTCCAAATTTGGTAATGATCAAAGAATATGCTATCAATAGTTTGGTTTAAAAAACCCCATTAAGGATGATTTACCACTGTATTCTAGAGACTGTCTCATGGAACTTACCGATCATTTGTTTCAGACAATGGTGCCATGAAGGAGGTGGATCTTGGTGACCTAGAGGAGGAAGCCAGTAGACTGGGGGTAGATCCAGCTGAACTCAGGAGGAAGGTGGGCACAGAATGCACACAGTCAATACTTCACAGATTGTGTATTTACATCATTATCATCCAAAACTGTGTTCCACAGGAGATATTGTTTAGGAGATATCGTTTTGACAGTAGATTTTGTACAATGCCCTGACAATGCTATGACGTCATGAACTTGATGACGTCACAATGCTATGACATTGCTTCACTGCAAGCCTAATGTCAGTACTGTGTTCAGAGATGTACATTTTTCATTGAAAACCAATGAAGAGTGATTTTGAATGATAAATAGAATCTCACCCTCGTGTCTTCTGATGTCAAATATATCAACACTTGTTGATAAAATTTAAAATATCCTCGGCAAGCCTTGGATATTTGTAACTTTATCAACTCGTGTAGATATAATTGATATCAGAAGACACTTGGGTGAGATTCTCGATTTCCTCCACCACCCAAGAATACATATGGCAGATTTGTTGTCTCTAATGTTTTACTCAAGTATCACCTAGGTTGAGTAAGCACAACTTCAGCGATTGCTTTGAGCAACAAGCTGTCAGATTTCTCATGCAGCTTGAAGTTTCTCCTCATTCATTCAGTGGTTGGTTGGCACAAAGTTCATGAACAGAATGCCCATTGTCTGCATGAATTATTCTTGCAGACATATTAGCATATTAGCAGACATTCGTGACCCACTCGTGTCATTCCGGGACAAGCTGAATAGCGACTTGTGCCCCTCTGGAAGGATTTCATATTGGCGTAGGAACATCAGAACTATATACTTTAATGAATGATTAGCAGATTGAAAAATAGAGACTCTTCAGTTTTACATCAGAAACACCCGGTGGAATGTATTCATGTGTGACTGAGGAGCATGTAAACAAAGCCTGTGAAGTATTGAAGTTAGTTATTCCATTAGGGGTTGAGTAGTCCAGTGAGTAGCATGTCAACCCAGAGAATGGTAGGTCCATGCAAAAATCCTGATTTTTCCTTATCCTGACTCATGATCTTTTGCTTATCTCCCTTTCCTCTTCGAATGGTAGTGGAACACTTAAATCCCTTGAAGTTCCCGAAGCGGACCTATAAATACACTCACCCACGAGTTACCTCCCTTTGCCCTTTCCCACGCAAACCAGTCATGTGATGTGCCTTACTTGTCACTCTCTCCCTTTTCGCCCAAGCGCATTATATCCTTTTATATTTAGAACCTATTCTTCAAAATTACGATGTACCGGTATATGGATTTGACTATAACTACTTATGTAGTATTTGTAAAAATTAATTACATTTGAGTTGTGTTTTCATTGTTATGTAACTTTGTTTACATTTCATGAAATCTTGCAGTGTTTGCAGGCACAGATTATCCGTGGCTGATCCTCACCCCCAGTGTCCTTCGTGTATAGATCCATGTTCCTCCAGCTTGCGCTGTACTCATTGTATTGATTTATCTAATCTACAATTTAATCAATATTTGTCTTATAATTATAGACGTGCCATGGATCGGGTGAGAAAGTCATCTCAAGTCATGATTGATAAAACTGACGATCAGCCTCCAAAGCGTATGTTGTTTGCTACTGCCGATGTTCATAATACTGGTGCTATGTTTAGTACATTACAGGGCCAGTCTGCTGGTAAGGGGGCCAAGAAGAGATCGTCTACATCTCAGTCGACGCCATCTTAGACTAAGAAAAAGATGTCATCCTCTTCTACTGTGCAGAAGAAGTGTACGGTTACCAGATCGGAGGGCAAAGCTAGACACTTTTGACGAACCCCCAATACTTCTACCTGAAGTATCTATGAGATCAGCGACGCAGTCGACCTCTACTACTACGAGATCGTCCCCTACTACAGTCACAGCAGGACAGCTGTTCGACATACTACCTCTTACTTCTCGGATTGAAGTTGAGGCACATAACCCATCAGTGTTCGCGAACGCCTCTCCTACACGGCAGCAGCGTCAACCTATGCAGAGATGATGGCCATGATGGAACGTAGATTCCAGGAGGAATCGAAGGCTAGGAAAAGCCTCTCATCTACCGACACTGTGTGCAAACCCACAGGCCTGCGCGAATCTACTCCTATTAGATCTACATCTCAAGGTTATGTTCACGAACGTACTCCTTCGCGAAGGTCTCCACAGTCGGACGACTCTGTCATCTTGGAGGATAGAAGAGATGGCACACATACTCTTCAATCTACGTTTCGTGAACCCTCAGCGTTCGCGAACATCGAAGGATCCTGCTCCTACACCTAGCCGCTCTAGGTCAAGACCTTTATCTTGCACAGATGTTCGCGAAGCTACTCACCTCAAGCCAGACGTTCGCGAAGAGATAGCTCACCTCACAGAGGTTCGCGAAGAGATGTATCCACAGATAGAGGTTCGCGGACAGAACACTCTCAAGATAGACGTTCGCATAGGGAGGAATCCTCAGATACAGGTTCGCGAAGAGAGGATGAGGGTTAGAGAAGGGAAACAGGTTCACAGATGGATGAATCGTTGAGACGTAGCTCTCATAATCAGGAGACTTCGGACTTGCAAACGGACTTCATCTCCCCAGACTCAGAAATTACAGCATGGATTGCTAATGGGTTGAACTTGGAGTCTCCTTCTAAGGATAAAGATGAAGTCTACACTTATATGATGCGCGACGATGACTTCGACTCCGTCACAATCCCTCCGATTGAACCTATATCCAAGGTACCTTCTAACCTACGCACAGCTTTGAGAAAGCTACAGACATCTACAAGGTTCGAGAACTCTCAGAACTACAGGCTGATAACAGCAACGTAGACATCTACAGGGTTCGCGAACCCTAGGGTTAACGAACCCTTACATCAACAGGCAGGTTGTTGACGTCGACTCTATTACCATACGGCTGAATAAAGGAAGCAAAAATGAACACGGATGAGGTCTTATACCGGGTAGCAGATGGCCTGCGGATATTGTTGTTCACTCACTCACTCCAACCCAACAGAAACGTACTGCATATATGCTGATGACTTCGACTCCAATATGATATCACCTATGAAGCCGATATCTCAAGTACTGGAGAACCTCAAACGACCTTTGGAAAGGGCTTGAGGTTAACATCGCCTTCAAGTATCCTTGTACGGACGTACAGATGATCGTATTAACACTCGTCACTCAGCGTGGGGATTAGGATTATATCCTATCAACTAGATTCAACATCGGTATTTCTTCAAAATCCATACAGATATACATCTCGACAGCCTCCTTCGTCATGCTGGGAATAAGTGATTTATATCACTAAACAAGAATTTACACTTGGAGCAACCCTTAGTCGAGAGGTTTATATGAGCGGCGTAGATGTACGCCGCTTTTTACTCAACCAACTACATTGCATCAGATTTTATGGAGGCCAACATGCTACAACACTGGTGACGTCATGCTTGAAGCTGATTGGTCCACGTCAGACAACGCCTCCCACTGACAGAGCAGGCTCCAACATGTTTTCTCATTGTAAACAAACCCATTGTATTAGGGAATACTTCATCGGCAGCCTTGGAAACAGTATACAACTACGGCCTGTTGCCATGTTGGGAATCTAATAGATGTCTAGCCTTGACAGCAGGATAAACGTTGTTTATTTTGGAAGTTGTCGCTGATAAAAGTCGGTATGAGTACCTGTTCCCTGTGATGCTACACGGGAACCAGCCTTGCTATAAATAGACAACGCTTCGATGTCAACACTGATCGCCTGCGTATATAAGGGGAAGAATCATCATGCAATCAGAGGTTAGCACTTCCAAAGGAACGTCCTATCGTTTGGAATATCGTCGGCTCTATGATTATTCATACGAATAACCAAGCCTATCGGCACCTATCTGCTACAGCGAGGTCTACGCAGTGCCGGTTATCTAAACGACGGCATACAGGTTCTTCAAAGTACCAATCAACTCAGAGAGCAACTGAACTTCACAATTAAGTTGCTCACGCAACTAGGATGGCTAGTGAACCTGATGTAAATTGGAGTTAGAATCAAAGATCTTCAATTGCTTGGAATAAGAATTATCACAACACAGAATCGAATTGTGCTCCCAGAAGATCATTGGGTCAAGATACAAGCCATGATTCAACAAGCAGTCATCTCTCCATTAACACTGGGGCGGTGGGGTAGCCTAGTGGTTAAAGCGTCCGCTCGTCACGCCGAAGACCCAGGTTCGATTCCCCACATGGGCACAATGTGTTAAGCCCATTTCTGGTGTCCCCCGCCGTGATATTGCTGGAATATTGCTAAAAGCGGCGTAAAACTAAACTCAGTCAGTCAGTCCATTAACACTACGAACATGACAATGTCTACTCGGTCTACTAACCTCGGCGCAGGACTTGACTCGCACAGGAAGGTTACAACTAAGACCGCTGCAACGGTTCCTGATAATACATTTAGACAGCGTCGACCTTATCTTGCTGCCGGGAAACCTCAAGAGGCATCTACTGTGGTGGACACACAGGTCGAACGTTTGCGAAAGAACCTATTTACAAGAGCCGGCCTTCGACACACATCTCTACGCAGACTCCTCGATGCAAGGATGGGGTGCGCATCTCAACGATCAAGTGGTGTCGGGAAAGTGGTCCAAAATGCAACAGCAGCTTCACATCAATCTGCTAGAGATGAAAGCAGTGATCAACGCCTTACAACTATGGTCGAGCTTGCTGAACAACAAAATGCTGATGATCCACACAGACAACTCCACAGTGGCGTTCTCCATAAACCGGCAAGGATCCACAAGGTCTCCAAGCCTATTGCAGCTCACATTCCAGTTGTTCCAGATCACACAGGAAGCAAACATCTGGATAAAGGCGTGTCACATACCCGGAGCCAAGAACGTACTGGCAGACGCGCTCTCAAGACCACTACACCCGTCACCTATGGAATGGATGCTCCATCCAGAAGCATTTCGGAACATAAGGGAGATAGGATCCCCTTGCATAGACCTGTTTGCCTCGAGGTTCAACAAACAACTACAGACGTTTGTCTCGGCAGTTCCAGATCCTCAAGCCTG